AATTTCCTATTTTTCATACACGTGGCATCAGGTCAAAATACTCATACAGCTTTGGAGATACAGACTTCAAACTCACTCAGCATAGAGGTGAGACATTAAAGGTGGAAGGTTATCAAAAGAATTCTCGTACATCAAAGCATGTGGGCGTGGCTAAGCGTCAAACTTTGGCTTTGTGAAATGACACTTCTCACCCAAATCTTGATCAGCCCCAAACCATGCTTTAACCTAGAATTATGAAACTTGGTACACATGTGTATCCTGTCAGGATGTACAAAAAAGTCTCTTGGAGCCATGGTCCAAACCCAACAGGAAGTCGGCCATTTTGGATCAAAGTTGCAATTTCCTATTTTTCATACACGTGGCATCAGGTCAAAATACTCATACAGCTTTGGAGATACAGACTTCAAACTCAGTCAGCAGACAGGTGAGACATGAAAGCTGAAAAGTGATCAAAAGAATTCTTGTACATCAAAGCATGTGGGCGTGGCTAAGTGTCAAACTTTGGCTTTGTGCCATGACACATTAGAATGTAATAACTTCTCCAGGACAGGTCAGAGCTGAATCAGACTTTCCATGTCTCATTATAGACCAGCCATGATCACATTCACATGATCAATTGATGACATCACCTAAACCACGCCCCCCTCCAACAGGAAGTCACCTGTTTTTCTCTCCTGGATGTCTTACTTTTACTCTGATTCAAATGGATTAAATCCTGTGCCAACTGATACAAAATGACATGATGATGCCCTCTGTGAATGTTAGCTGCTGGCTGAAGCATGTGGGGGTGACTAAATAGCGAGTAGCAATGCTCACCATGTCTACGGTCATCTCTAAATCAAACATGCTTCATCCGATTTGCACCAGACTTTATGTGATGAACTCTGGTGAAGCTCTAAAGAGCCCAATAGCATTATATTATTACTTGACTCTCCTGCACACCCAGGTTAATCAAACAGCTGTGTCTCCTCACTACATCACCCGATCTACATGAGATATTGCGTGCTTCACAAGGGAGCGGTGCTGAAAACACAATGCAGCTAATGTTACCAGATAAAGCATCAATCCAGCTGTTCAGATACACATACATTCTCCCAAATCCTTAAATATAAAAGCTTTGTGCCAACATTTGAAAGATGCCGGCTTTTTTTCTTTGCTTCGGATTTCAATATTCAGCTGCAGCTCGATGGAGCCGTCAGGAACGAGTCGCTTTTGTCACCATAGTGGAGAGAATGGAAAACCTCGTTAGCCGCTTCAGAGCCGAGGCAGCACAATGGTAAACACCTACTCAGATGCAGCTAACGCCGCTGCTGCTCCCAGCCAGGTGAGTAGTTTGGAGATGTATCTGTCTGTTTTTTAATACATTTAAGGTTGCATACATACAGTCATGGAAGACATTTAAAACACAAAGTCTGCTTATTTTTATTTCTCAAACATAACATGCCCATTTTCTGAAGACAGTTGCATATTAGTTATAAATAACTCAATATTGTACAGCATTTTACCGTCATTTGTTTATCTTTGCGTGAATCTACATGCTTGTTTCTCATTTTGCTGTTGCATGAGTTTACCACGTTGTGAGATAATAAAACATGTTATATGACACCCTATTGTAAAATGTCTAGATATGAGTTCTCCAGTCAAATTGTTATGAATTATTAAATGTAGAATGAGCAATAAACCTGAAGAAAACGATAGTGTTGTTTTACCAATGGCTGTAAGTCTGCATATGTCTAAAACATACAAGTAATTACATTTTGTACACAACTATTCCAGTTATTTATAATTCTGTAAGTCTGGATGGTAAAAAAATAGTGTTTGAACATTAAATATATATAATTAAATATATATAAATCTATAGTAACATGTCAGTTTTAAATAATTCCTTATGTGTATGTAACTTCCACATAATTAACTGTGTTATTTATCTACGTTTATGTGCTATAAGCTATAATATCTGATTACTTTTCCCAGGGAACAGAAGAAGAGCAACATGGCTGACATGATGGTGAATGATAAGGAGAAGCATCAGAACAGCATCTGGATCCTTCAAGAGGAAGCAGCTACCAGCAGAGATGGCAGAGCTCCAGGGAGAGTTGAGACTAACATAAAAAATAAAAGTTGTGTCTCAGTGAACAAAGTCTCTTTATTTATGCTCACTCCACACATTTCTGTAGTTTATGTGGCATCAAGGTCCTAATACCATCCTCCCAAAATGTGAAGAGCTATAGACAAAGTGAAAATTACATTA